ATTAGGACGACTCATCGCCAACACTGGGAGGGTTTGATGAGTCACAACCCGACAACCCTTGTGTTTTTACAAGGTACGGCTCAACATACAGTGGCACGTAGTGCTTAAGCTGAGAGACGTGCACTACCTTGTTTTGGGGTCTATCATGAGGACTTTGCCCAGTTATATAGTAAACGACAAATGTAACAGGCCTTTTCTGGTCGATGATTTGATATATTCCCTTGAATTTGGGTGCCAACTTTCCGATTCCATTTGATACAGGCTTTTGATGGCGCACCTAGACGAACTGTCTGACTTGAAAGGAGTGATATCAACGGGACTGATCATTCGCTGTCTTACGTTTACCTTGTGCTTCCTCAATATTGCTCGCCACTGTGGCCCGGTTGAGACAATGTTAGGAGGTGGTCTTAAAGTGTCCTGGCTGTCGCAGGACGGTGGCGTTGATATGGGAGCTTGGGGACGTATCCATAAAATAGTTGAAATGGAGAGAAACAGCTGCTGGCACTGTAGCTTGTGTTGATGGCAAAAGCAGCTTCATTGAGTGTGGTGTCCAAGGAAGTTGGCTCAGTTGGACATAGCTTACGAAAAACGGAGACCAAAGTCCCATTGCTTCTCTCCACAAGACTGTTACTGGCTGTGTGTTATGCAACTGGGTAGCAAATCTCAGCATCGTGCATGAAGAGTTTAAACTGGTGAGGTTCAAAGGCTGCTCAGTGGTCACATATACATACAGTCATCAGGACAGCCAAAGCGAAACGACACCAGCTGCAGATGTGCTATACCTTCCTTAGCTGACATTGAAGTCACAGCCACTGGGACAATAAAATGCCTGGCAAGGCAACGTCAATGACATTTAAAATGTCCTTCTTTCCTAAAGCAGCTGACATTGTAATGTGATCAAGAGCAATTAAAGCAAAACCCACTTTTCCAACACTTTTAGACACTGGACGGTTACTGCTTTGGCAGGTTTGGCATGCTGTAACGTAGTGTGTCACCGACGGCGCAAAGTTTGGCCACCAGTATTGTTCTCTCACTTTAACCAGTGCCCGCATTATATCCAGTGGCCTCCACCATCATGAATAACTTCCATGACAGCCTGGGGCATTTTCGCAGGTAGTACAATCACTTGTAAACCTAAAGTCACATCACAATGGCTACAAAATGTCATCAACTATGGTGATATCATGCCCACACGATTTTGAAGATGACAAAGGACAAAAAGCGATGAAGATCCTGGCACTCTTCGTACTCTGCTTGCATAGCTGGGAGTGACCATGTCTGATGGAGGACTGCTGCGGATAATCGTGACAGCATGTCAGCAACCACATTTTGACGACCTTGATGGTGCTGCACAGTCAAGTCGAACTCTGTAAGATCCATTGACATGGTCATAAAACGACCTGAAGGCCTGATGCTGGCTGTCAAGCATGCAACAGTCCAGTTGTCAGTCAACAGGCAAAATTTCTTGTCGAGTAAGTAATGCTAGAACTTGATTGTAACTGCCCAGTGAACACCAATGCACTATCAAACACTACTATGCAACTTTTGCTCTGCAGCAGTGAGTGCACGACTCGCATATTCGATGACAGTTTCTTTGCCACACTGGTTCTGGGAGAGCACAGCACCAATTTCTGTTTCTGAGGCACCTGTCATGACTGGTTTGGGCATCTGAATCAACATGGCCCAGCAAAGGTGCCTCTGGTAATGCTGTGTGGATTCGTTAAAAAGCTTCATCACATTCGCTGGTCCAAGCGAACTCCTCAGACCGAATGAGACGCTGCAACGCTGCTGCTATCCTGGAGAAGTTCTTTACAAAGCGACGATATAAATTGGCTGTCTGGAGCCATGAAAAAACTGGTTCGCTGTTTGTAGACTGAGGGATTTTTATGATGGCTTCGACTTTGAGAGGGTCGTGCTGCTTCGTGTTTTTGTTCAAGATGAATCCAAGAAACTTGATAGACTCCAAAGCAAAGTTGCATTTATCAAGTGAAATTTTGAATCCACTGGCAAGGAGCGCACCAAGTACTTCACCAAGTAGTCTCGTAACTCACCAAAAGTTGGCACAAAAACCAGAACACCATCCAAGTAGACCCGCACACTGCACTTTCGGCAATGAGGCTGCAACTTGGCAAAAATAGACTGCATGACCCACTGAAAAGTGGCACGCTCTTCAGCCCAAATGGCATGCGAGTCCACATAAAAGTGCCCTTGTGGGTCACAAAAGCAGTTCTTGCTTGGTCTTTTTCATGAACACAGACTTGCAAATAAGCCAACTTTAGGTCACGACAGGCGAAGTACTGTGAATGTTATTCATGACGTCATCTGCATGTGGAAGTGGCTAGTAGGACACTCACAGTCACATTGTTTAGGGGCACGTAGTTAACACAAAGGTGTTTCTAACTACCTTGGCTGAAAACCACTGCGGCGAATGTCCAAGATACGATGACTGGAAGAATGATGCCTTGACAGAGGAGTGTGCTCGTTTGGGCTTCAAGAAAACGATAGTCTGCAGCAGAGTAAAGATAAGGAGATTGACTGTATGGGACAGCATCAGGAAGAAAGTCGATTAAGTGTTCGACACCCTCATATGACCTAAGTCATCCTCTTCAGGAGCAAACACTTCTGCCTGCTTCAAAAGGATGCTCGTAATTTCCCGTAGTCGATGTGCTGCAAGTTTACCAAGCTGATCGGCAGAAAGGGATGGGTCAAGGAAAACCACAATTGTTGAAGAAGCAGCTTGTTTGCATTCAGAAGACTGGCTGTAGAGGTTTGGAACGTTTTGGCAAGGTAGTGCTAACCACGGCAGTTCATCTGTGCCTGAGAGTGGCATTCGCTGGAGGCTTGTTGAGCTGCACAGACCAAGTACATGGCAATTGAAAGATAGCACCTGTATTATGACAGCATTTTACATCCTGGGCGATAGTTCTTCATGGCAACGTACACTTGTTCCTGTTGGAGAATGGCGAATTTCAGTTGGCATGGGTGGCTGGAACACCAACTGTGCATGCCTTGCAGAAAACCAGTATCCACCCAATATAACTGGCATGGCAATATTATCAAGGGCGGTGGCTTCGAACAAACCAGTGATAGGTCCTACAGATATCTTCAAGCAGATGACACCTGCTCGAGTCACTGTTGTTCTACCAACAACAACCAGAGGGGGGGTCTGGTCCAGGGTAGGAGGAGCAAAGAGTTGACCAGATGGTGAGAAACAAGAGTCACTTTGGATCCACTGTCAGGAAATGGATCCACTAGGACAATCCTAGCAATTGTGGTGTTGGGAAGGGTACGCTGAACAAGCAATCCATCCAGGGTCATCTCTGAAAGGGTACTGTTAAAAGTTGGGGAAGAATGGGCCACAGACGTTGGGGCTGTAGCTCTAGATGGGCACTTATACGCAAGATGTCTCTTTTGGTGGCACTGAAAACAAATGGCTTCGGCCAAGTTCTGGCTAGAACAGTGTGCTGAAGTACCATGCTTTGCAGAGATGGTGAGGTATCGAGCTTCTTGCTGGTCTGGCGGTAGAGCCGAAATTCACAGTGGCTGGCTTGTTTTGTGTGATAAGGCCTGAAGATTCGTGCACTCTACATGTGACGGGGCACCTGTGGGCTTGGCGTTGTGGTGCTTGAATACCCTGGGCAAGGGAGTCGACGAGAAGAGTGGCTTAATGTTGGGTTACAATGTACATATACGCTGTGACGGTTTCTGGTCGTTGCACTGAAATAGTAGAGGCCAGGTTCCTGTCAGTGATGCCTTGAAGAACGTTCTTTATGCATCGAGTATCCGTGAAGGTGACTGGGCATCCCGAAATGAGCTTCAACTTCGCCAGAAAGTAGTTGACAAGGGTTTCTCTGTGCACTTGCACATAACAAACAACAAATTGTTGCTACTGTGCTTGGCACTGAATTATTCAATGAGTGCCTGCCTGAAGATTTTTCAGGTGGGGAACTGATGGGCAATAACAGCTTTCCAATCCGCGGCTGCTCCACAAAGTTTTCCCAGAGCGGACGGCGACTAGGGTTGAAGGTTCCCATGAAGACAGGTTTTACATTCGTTTTAAGTCTTCAATCTAGTGGGACGCTGAAATGCTACCGTCTCCGCTGTAAGTGGGAAGCGATGCGGACAGGTCAGGAAGAGTGGTGAATTCGACTGGGACTGCAGCGTGTTGTGACACATGAAGAAGCTGCTGAATGAAACCCGTCAGGAGCTCGGTATTTTGTGCTGCATCGAAGCTCGATAGAAGTGGCCTGGCACTCGGGTGCTGGCTGGGCGCTAAGGTGTCTGGGGAAGGCAAAAAAAGGTGTTGAGTGGTTTTGGGCGATATTCGCGATGAGACCACTTATTATTTCTTTCTTCGACCCGTTCGCATCAAGGTTTCGGCGAGACAACTCTTCACGGAGGAAGTCCGCTATAAAGCTGGCGAGGTCCTTTGGCGTAAAAATTCACGAGCGGCGTGGCACTCACTATAAAGTGGCACAAGAGTTATGAGAGACGAAAATGTGGGCAAGTGAAGCCGTTTAGCAGTGCAAGCGAGCCACTTCATCGGGCGGGCGGCTGGGTGTCAGCACGACAGTTAGCGACACACAAGGGGAAGCGCAGATTGGCTCGGACGAAGCGGGCGATAGGCTTATCGTCGGCAAAAGCTACACAAAGCACGAAGTTGATACCAGTGCTGTGGGGCCAGTCCGGCAAATCACTTTACAAGGCGGGAAAGAAGTGACGTTCCATGCATATAATTTGGGTTCAACTGTGCCTGTTGTGAGAGCTAGATGGGCCAGGCATAAAGGCTCAGGCATGGCACTACCATACGAAGGCGTTTATTCACAATTAAAAACGTGCGTCTGCACCCTAGGCGGGAGCGAGAGCACCTAAAGTCTCGGCCGACACTTGGACCTGTCATTGAGCTGACGTATGGCACCATAGGTGGCACTACTAATCAGGTGCTATGGTATCCCACATGCGAGCGCTCACATTATACGTAAAAGTAGAACTCTGCTTACCCCATCGGCTTCTTCAAGACGTGAAGTATTTCTTGATATGAGATTGGCCAAATTGAGAAAGACATTAAGATGATTCGGTGCAATTCTTGCTTTGTAGGGCTCGCCCGCTTTTGGTCGAGGAAGCAAGTCCTTTGCCTATGCAAAGAGAGATAAAGTATAATATTTAAAGGAAACTGCTGTTCAAATCTTGGCGAATCTACCAGTTATAAGGTTGAACCTGAAATGCATTTGGTATCAAAGCAACATATAATAATGCGCATACACACTAGACTATAGGAAAACGAAACTGCCCCAAAAATGAACTTCTAGCACAATTGGCTTTGTACCTGTTTTTTGCAGCTTTATTTATCTCTCAGTAAATGGAACTCTCGGGAAATGGAAGACATTTTGATGGTACCATGAGGTCATGCTAATGAGTTTACTGCATTAACATGGAAGTGTCTTTTGCCATGGTGCAACAGATGACACGAAAAAACTGGAAGAAAAAAACTATTGACTGATTAGGACGACTTAGGAGTCGAACCCGCGACCTCTCAGTTATTATTGCTGGCTGCTGAGTGCTCTGCCTCCCACGCTGACGATGCTCGTACAGGTGGCTTCACAAATGCATCTGATATCTCTTACACTTTCTTGGTTTCAAAGTGAGCTTGGATGATGGTGGCCAGTGTCGCCTTCTGGAACCTATGTAGTCATGTACTGCATCATAACACTAATGAGCGCTGACAGTGAATGCTTAGAAAATTTCAGTTTTTGGTTCAGACAGACACGCCAGCGAGAAGCAGAGCACCTTCGCCTTTTGTGATTCAAGCTATGAACTCAGCCTATGCCATTCCGAAGAAAACTTCGAAGTAATACTATGTAATTTATATTTAGTAGCTTCAGTCTGTCATCTATTACTCAGTTACGCAGCCAAGTAGTCCTGAGGCATACAGTATTAAGAAATAATATCTCTTGGCATAATTATTCCAAACGGTATTGAAGTGTGTCACAGAGAAGACCCCACAACACAGTACCTATGTTATGTGGTCTCCCCAGTGTCGCATCTCTGTGCTGTTTGGAATAACGTACAAACAAGCCAGCTTAGCTACCATCTTGGCTTAAGTTTCCGCGATCGAGAATGCTTTGCATGGCACCTAATCCCTATATTGCTCGTTGCACAGGCCTCATGCACATTGTTCACCAGGGGCTGCCATAAAACGAGAAGATGGTCATAATGCCCGACTGAGATGGAATCCATGCTTCTCCCTCATGGTATCATAATGTACTGGCACTGCACACCACGCTAGCTCATGACCCTTTGACATGGCACCCTTCCTCAATGGCTGCCAGTCTTTTTCCACTTCTGTTGGGAGCTTGGTTGTCACGATAGAGATGCTTTCCCACATGGTATGAGAGGGTTATACGCTGCCTTGGCAGGCACTTTCTCATTCGTGTACTTGGTGAAATGTAGTACCTGATAGCGCTGCAAGCAAACATCACTGATCGGTCTTGCAGAAGGGCTCAGCTAGTTGGTCAAGCGTGCAATGATGGAAGCCAAAGGGAAATACGGTTTAGTGGTGTCTTCTTGTGTCCATGTTTAAATTACCAGTTTTTTTAGCATGGTTCTGCCGATGTTAGCCCAGCTCAGTCTGCATTCCCACGACTGTCACATTGTGTGCATCTTGGGTTAATAAACCCGTGATCGTTAGTCAGCCTGCCTCAACCTGCACCCCAGTCAGAGAGTTGATGAGCACGGCAAAAGTGCATTTAAATGTTGCCGCAGTGGAGTGTTGCGTCCTTTGCCCATCACAGCTTGTAGGGTAGAATATTCTTGAGGTAGCATATTTTCATAACTAGGTTGAAAATTTGCGAAAAGCAAGTTAAATAGCCACACATGTGAGTACAGTCAAACTAGTGCGTAAAAAACTCAAAAGTGCCTCAGTAAGTGGTTGTTATATCAGCAGTGCAAATGACAACCCAACCAAATTTTTTCTGGGCATTTTTATCAATAGTGTTAACAACCCCTCCAATGAGATGATAGGATTTTTCACATGTTAAGCAATACGTGCTGTGTGCTCATGAGTGAATTAAATGATGCTCGCAATGTACTCACATAGTTCCATCGAAGCATAGTACCACCACGTACGTGGAAACGATAATCTCTGGCTGGTTGTGTGCACCTTATCTCTTACTCGGCTATCACCATTGCACGCCAAGCCATTTGCAGTCTAGTATATGTGTGCATGCATTTGTATGTTCTTCTTGCATGCTTCACTCCAGATATTACTCGGGTGCAGCGCGTAGCCTATTCCTTCAACATCACAAAGACATGCATTTTAAGAGCAATGCGCAAGTTGCATTGCACGACGCAGCAGCGGCGAACTTGCAAAGGGTAGCATGATGAACTTGTACTACTGTCACACCGCGCAGCTAAACTCAAGCAGCCGAGCAGATATCTGAATATGACTGCGATAAGGTTTATTTATTTATTTATTTATTTATATACCTTAAGGGCCTCTAGGGCATTACATAAGAAGAGTTTCATACAGTAATCAGTGACAACAGCAATTTTTTAACAAGAAAAGAAGACAAGAAAACATGCGCAGGATACACAGTTCGTCAACCAAGATAAGCAAGAAATAACACAGCAAATTTTTCACAAGCGAGCACATTGAAAAAGCTGCACGACACGTTATACAGCAATGCCTAAGATTGTCCAACACATTCAAGAAACGCAAATAATGCAGACTGAAAAGATGATTCTTGTGTATGCGTTACAATGCTGGCAGGCAGAGCGTTCCACTCGGTTATCGCTAAGACAAGGGGTGAGTATTGGTGTTTTTTTGTGCGAGAAAATATAGGTTCAATTTTATAATCATGGTCACCGCGTGCGGAAATGTACAAAGCAGGGTGAATGAAGGTATGGCGGAACGGCGAATCACTGTGGTATAATTTGTGGAAGAAACATAAGCGGAAATATTTTCTGCACATGGCAAGAGGGGGGAGATTTAATTTTTTCTTAATAAATGACACACTTTCATAGCGGGAAAAAACATGACAAAATAAATCGCGCGGCTTTGTTTAGGACGGTTTCGAGCGTATCAGTAAGGGTTGCTGTGAGAGGGTGCCATACTATGGAAGCATATTCTAGGGTTGGCCGGATAGCAGTATGGTATGCGTGAAGTTTGGTGTCTTTGTTTGCAAGTTTCAGGCGACGCTTAAAAAGACCAAGTTTCCGTAGTACTTTCGCGGTAATGTATTCTATGTGGCTAGTCCAGGTTATATCAAAGTGGAATAAAATACCTAGATATTTATATATGGAACTGTCTGAATTACCAAGTTGTTTATATACTCATTGGGCAAAGGATGTGCAACGGATAAAAGCGTAAGTGTTTGGTTTTGTTTACATTTATTTCCACTTGCCATAAACGGCACCATTCTGATAATTTTGTCAAGTCAGACTGCAAGATGTTTACGTCGTTTGGTTCGGTGATTTCCCAATAAATTACGCAATCGTCTGCAAAGAGGCGCAGTGAAGAGTTATTATTATATCCGATATCATTATTATAGACTAGAAACAACAGAGGGCCTAGTACGGATCCCTGGGGTACCCCGGTTTTGACGGGTCTGGGAGCAGAGATAACGTCGTTAAGTTTAACTGACTGCAACCTGTTAGTAAAAAACCGCTTATTCACTAGGTTGTTTTATCGTCTAGCTGTTGATTACAGATTTTAGTCATCAACCTTTTGTGTTGAACGCGGTCAAACGCTTTAGCAAAATCTATAAAAATTGCATCAGTGTAGCGCGAGTTATTCAGAGAATCATTAAGGTCAGTTACCAATTCGAACAGCTGGGTTTCGCATGAGCGGTTACTGGGGAAGCCATGTTGGTTATCTATTAGCAAGGTATTTTTATTGAGGTGAGATACGATGTGCGTAAACAGAATATGCTCGAGTATTTTGCACGGAATAGAAGTAAGAGAGATTGGCCGGTAATTATTAGCACATGATTTTAACCCAGATTTGAATATAGGTACCACTAATGCCGACTTCCAGTCATCTTGGACGCAACCTGTGTTCAGTGACTGGTGAAATATTAGTTTCAATAGGTACGATGATTTTTGAGCGGTTAATTTCAGAAGTTTGGAGCTAATGCCATTGGGCCCTGGACTCGTTTTGTACTCAAGTCGCTCAATGGCACGTGTTACGCCATTTTCGGTGATTTCTATTGGGAGAAAGATATCATGAATGACAGTATCTGGTAGGTCGAGGGAATCTAATGTAAGCTCATTTGAAAATACCGATGCAAACTGATCGCTGAATATTTTCGCAGTTTCTTCAGCTGACGAAGAATCTCCATGCTCACCGTCCAGCAAGGTCGGACAATCAGTGTTTTTAGGGTTTATCACTTGCCAGAATTTTTTAGGGTCAGTTTTGAGGAGTTTCGGCAGTGTGCAATTAAAAAGTTTGTTTGGCTTCTTTAATGATGGCTTCGGTTTTTCTTGATACATTTCTATAGTTATCCCCAGTCTACTGTCGATTTTGTCCGAGACGCCTTCCTAAATGCACGCTTCTTTTTATTAAGACTTCTTTTCACATCCTGTGTGAACCACGGATCGTTTTTGGTTGATCTAATAGCCATTTTTGGTACGCAACTATCTTCGATTTGTTTCAATATGTCACGAAATTTAATCCAGTTTTCATTTGCAGTGCAATTTGCAAAGCTGGCATCGAACTGGGGTGTAAACTCTTCCAGCATATGATTCATTTTCTCGACATTGGTACGTGCATAATTGAGTATGTGCTTGTCCGTTACGGTTTTATCGGGCAGTGAGATAGATAAGGAGCAATGTACGGCACGGCGATCGCAGATTCCTTCCAGGACATGAGTAACTGCATCATCGGGTTGGTTAGTGAGTATGAGGTCCAATATGTTGTTTCCGCATGTTGGTACCGTCACAAGCTGGGACATGTTGTGCAAATGTGCTAGGTTTATGAAGTTAAGGCTTTCTTGACGACGGCTAGCACAGCTAACAGTGGCAGAGGACCAGTCTACGTCGGGGTAATTGAAGTCCCCTCCAAGAATCGCAACAGAGTTTGGGTGCTTGTTTAAGACATAATCAATGAAATTATTCAGGTGTTCAATGAACTCTGGGC